TGCACACCCCCTACTGGGGATGTGCCCGCAACCAAGTTACATGCCCTTACCGGAATTGAACCCGGGACCCATCAGTCCCCAAGCCGATGCTCTATCCATTGAGCCAAACCGGTCTCGGCAATACCATAATTTATTTAACAAATACCTCTTGATGGAAATTTGGGCTGTTTCCATTTTTTTTATTGTTTTACTAACAATGCTACAATAAATATCCTTACCCATATTTTTGAACATATTTTCTAGCACTGTATTTCTGTAGAAGAAACTCCTAGAAGTGGAACTGAATTGCTGGATTAATATGGCCTTTAAAACAAACGGTATAGGAGGCCTGGAAAAAGGGTACTGAATATGGATACTCGATCATGATTGTCATGGCAGTTTTTATTTTTATTTATTTATTTATTTTTATTTTTTATTTTTTATTTTTTAAATCAATCTTTATTGTTCACATTATTACAAAGGTTCCTCATTTCTTCCCCCCTCCACCAGGTTCCCACCCCTCCCTCCGCCCCCTCCCCATACCCCACTGTCCTCATCCATAGGTGCACAGTTTATGTTCAGTCTCTTCTTCCCTCCCTTTCCCCAATAGTAAATCCCTTTTCAGATAGTAAATCAGTTACTCAGCATTTTCTCATATCAATAATACCTCCACATGCCCAACGATACACTTCACACAAAAGACATTTCCCAATAGGTCCACCAGCCTCATCCAGGCCCCACCCAAGGCACTCACAGATCAACACCCCAGCCCTATACTAACTCAACACATCCAGATCTAAGCCTTCATCACTTGATTCAGCAGACCCTCAAGTTCCCACAAAAGTTTCCAGCCATGTCTGAGAGGCAGCCGTGGGGCAGGGGCAGGCGAGGAGCGAGCTATTCCGGGCCTGGCTGCTCAGGGCCTGGCCTCTGTTACTCTGGTTTGTTCCACAACCAGCTGCTCCGGGTCTGGTCACTGCCGCTCCCGACCTAGCCGCTCTGGACTTGGCTGCTGCTGCTCTGGGCCTGGCCACTCCCAGCCTGGCAGCCACTGCTCCGGGCCTGGCCGCACCCGACCCAGCTGCTCCGGGCCTGGCCGCTCCCAGCCTGGCAGCCGCTGCTCCGGGCCTGGCCGCACCCGACCCGGCTGCCCTGGGCCCGGCCGCTCCGAGCCTGGGCACTCCCAGCCTGGATGCTCTGGGCTTGGCTACTGCTGTTCTGGGTCTGGCTGCTCCCACCCCGGCTGCTCTGGGCCTAGCTTCTCCGGGCCCACCCACTCCGGGTCTGGTTGTTCCTGGACTGGCCACCCTGGGCTTGGCTGCCTCCGCCTCAGGCCTGGCTGCCACTGCCCCAGGTCTGGCTGCTCCAGGGCTGGCTGTTGATGCTCTGGTTCTGGCTGCTGCTGCTCTGGGGCCTGGCCATTGCTACTCTGGGCCTGGCTGCCACTGCCTTGTGCCTGGCCACTCTAGGCCTGGCCGCCGCTCTTCCAACATTCTGTCCTTTTTTTTCTTTTAAAATGCATTTATGTTGCAATGTTGGCTGTTGAGTTGAGTTCTGACTTAGTCTTTGATTTTTCAAGAACTTCCTTGTATTCTTTCTTAAGTAATTTTACTATCTTTTGCTCTCACTTGATTTCTTCACATTGAAAACTTCTTTGGTTTCTTCCTCCTTGTCCTGGGCGCTCATCAGGTTGGCCTGTGGCACCCCTTTGTTCTGCGCGGGCTCCTGTGCTGCTTCAGCCTGTTGCCGGGGACAGCGCCGCGCAAGAAGCAGCCCCCGGCCTTGGCTCCATTGCCCACACTCAGCGGTCGAAGGCTCAGGGGCACCCACGCCCCCAGGGGCCCTGTCGCCCGCCTCCTTGCTGGTGCCGGTTGGCCGGCGTCCGGCAGGGGCTCCCACTCCCCGCCGCGTTCCCCCAGCTCAGAGCTTTTTTTCTCCTTCCCGCTAGGGGAGTCTAGCATCAGAGTCAACAGACTGTCCTTTGGGCGCAGTGTGCGCAAGTCCGGGGCCCGGCCTTTCACCGCTCTCCCCGGACTCCACCTCACAGCTCTTTCTCCCTCTGCCTGAGTCTGGGTCCCCAGGGATTGGCCCAGAACTGGGGTTCGGAGCAGTCCGGACTGAGGCCCAGCGCCGCCGGAGGCCTTGTTTCTTCCGGCTAGGGCAACCCAGCATCAGAGTCAACATTCAGTCCTCTGCGCGTATTGCGTGCGACTCCGGGGGCCCTGCTTTTCGCCTCTTTTCCGCCTCATAGCCCCGTCTCCCCTGCAGGAGCCTGGGTCCTCAGGGTCTGGCCCATAACTGGGGCTCAGCGCTGCCGGTTCGGGGGTTCAGCCCAGGCTGGGGGTTTTATTTCCTTCCTGCTAGGGAAGGAAAGGCAGCACCCTGCCCTCTCCTCCTCTCCGGCTGCGACCTGCCCGCACGCGCATGCGGGCGGGCGTGCAGCATGTCTCCGTACCTTAGGCTTTTTTTCAGCTCCTCTGATTTTCCTTCTGGTTTTCTCTTTCCTTCTTGTTGTAGAATTTTCAGTCAGACGACTACCTGTAGCTCTGGGCAATGTCCACTCTACATCTTAGTTGTATTCCATTGAAATTGTTGTGTGCTGCCTTGGCTAGATGTCTACCCGAGCAGCCATCTTGGATCTCTCTCTCATGGCAGTTTTTAGAAAGTCGTAAAAAGGTACAGTGTACTTAGTACTACCTAAAAAACTAATAGAGCAGCCCAGCCACAGTGGCTCAGTTGGTTGAGCATCATCATGTGCACTGAAGAGCTGATGGTTTGATGCCCTGTCAGGGCATATACCTGGGTTGTGGCTTTGATCCCCAGTTGGGGTACATATAGAAGGAAACCCATCGAAAAGTTTTAGAGTGTTCTTAAAGTAGAGCAGGGATTAGGATCTAGATATTCAATTACTTATTTATATATATTTATTGATTTGATAGAGGAAGGGAGAGGGAGAGATAGTAACACCAAAGTAAGTTTAAGGAGAAACCTACATTTAAATTCCTTTCCATTGTTTTATGTGCATATATAGTTGATAATGTTTGTAACCGCTGGTTTCTGCCATTTTTACTTAATATTATTTCATAATGAGTTATGAAATTAAGAAAAAAATTTAAAATTGATTTTTAGAGAAAGAGTAAGGGAGAGGGAGAGAGAGAAGCATCAGTGTGAGAGCCCACAAGCCAGGCATATGTCCTGATCAGGAATCGAACTGAAAGCCTTTTGGTGCACAGGACTACACCCAACCAACTGAGCCATACTGGCTAGGGCTGACATTTAAAAAAAAAAAAAAAAATTGCCATAATTTTTTCCCCCAAAGAATATTGATTTTTAGGGAGGGAAAAGAGCGAGACATCTGTATGATAGCTTTACATTGGTGGGCTGTGGACTATGAAAATTTGATGTGTTCAAAAGTGTTAGCTTTCCCTCCTTTACTATGAACTAAATAAAGTAAGTAACAGAAACATTCTGATCTTCATATGGACTGGAGTAGGAATAGAAGAATAGATTTTTACTTTTATTTAAAAGGAAAAGGTGCCATGAATTTCAGAAGCACGTATGTAGAGCATACTGACACTTTTTTTCTCTAGTATAGTATTTTATTGATAACTTATGGTTTGATTGCCTATTCCTTGTTGGGCATTTTGACCCAAACCCCCAGGGCAAATCTCTGAACATACTTTAATTTTCAGTTGTTTGTTGCTAGTGCATAGAAATAGAATCGAGTTTTAAAACTATTTTTTTGAGCAGTTTTAGGTTTACAACAAAATTGAGAAGAGGGTATATTTTCTTTATACCCCCTCCCCCCCCCCCGGCTTCCCCCCCCAACACACACATGTATAACCTCTCTTGTTATCAGTATTATGTACCAGAATGGCACTTTTTTTTTTTTTAATCAAGGGTTGAATTTGCAATGACACATCATAATCACCCAAAGTCCATAGTTTACCTTAAGTTCACTCTTGCTGTTGTACATTCTGTGAGTTTGGACAAATGTATGGTGAGATATATATATATATATATATATATATATATATATATATATATATATATATATATATATATATAATTATAATATATATAGAATACACATTTTATTAAATATCTTTCATGAGTAAATTGCACACTTTTTTATTGCCTATTTGATAACAGTTCCCAGATGGTGAGTGGGATGACCATGACATTCAGTAAAATATGCCGTTATTTATTAGTAATAATGGCAATTTAATGGAAAAATCAGAAAATGTTAGAACTAATTCTAAAACTTTAAAAATGTTCTTTCCTTAAAGTTAGCATGAGAATCTTTTATCTAATTAATGCTCATTCATGATTTTTTCTCACTCTGTTTATTTTTAATGGAAAAATCATCAATATTTTATTTTAATAAAATAAAATAATTTTCCTAATTTTTAATAAGTTGCAGTAATTTTAATTCAGTTTAGAAAGGTAACAGGTATTTTTCGGGTAGGGAAATTTTTAGTTTTCTTTTTTAAATAGTGGCCCAGTGCATGAAATTCATGCACATTACAAGGGAATTAATTAGAGGAAATATTTTAATATTGCTGTTTGCCCTTTCTCTATAATAAAAGTGTTATAGATGAAAGAAAATTAGTAAAATGTACATGGAAATCTCCCTTCTGTCAGTCTGGGATGTGAGTCAAGTCCCCGCCCACTCACGTGTGCCTAGAAATTGTGGAGACCCAGACCCAGCTGGCCCCACCCTTTCAAGCCTCACAGGGTGGGGGGCACAGCATCAGGTCCCCCATCAAGCCCCACCAGTGGTGGGTGTGGCCTCAGATCCCTTGGCATGAGGGAATGATGACCATTTGCATATTAGCTCTTTATTATATAGGAGATGATAAAAACTAGGTAACTTTTTTTTTAATGTTTATTCTAAAAGAAACTTTCATGTATCACAGCCTTTTTGAACATGTAGAAAAGAGGTTCTTTATATTTTCAAAGGAACTTGTATAGAATACAAGTTAAACTTGAAATTTGTGGCACATGTTAATTTCTTTCAGGAGAAGGAAGCCAACACCCTTTTGGAGCCATGAATATTGTCCGAACTCCATCTGTTGCTCAGATTGGAATTTCAGTGGAATTATTGGACAGTTTGGCTCAGCAGACTCCTGTAGGTAATGCTGCTGTATCCTCAGTAGACTCATTCACTCAGGTAATGTAATGCACATTTTACTATTTTCTAAAATAATTAAAAAATTATATTTTATACTTTAAAAATTAGCCTGGTGGTAAAAACATGTAAAAATGAAGGTAAACATACAGGTTGGGGCAAAAGTAGGTTTGCAGTTGTGAGTATGTGAAACAGTTTATTCTTGTAGTATTAGTTATTATTCATTGTATTATTTTCCATAAGAACAACTGTAAACCTGCTTTTGCCCCATGACAGAAGTTATTGGCTCCATGGATATTTTAAGTTCACCTTTTTTCTCTGTAGGTATTTTACAATTTGTAAATGCTTTTATGACACCTGGGGTTTTTTTGTTTTGTTTTTTTGTTTTTGTTTTTATGATGATAAAAATAGGTTTACCTATACATTTTTCTCTTTTCCTTTCATAACTAGCATGCTAACCTGAGAATATATTTGTGAACCTGATAAGCAAGATGTCTGTCCTCATTGAACGTAAAGGGGTATAATTCTATAAGGATTGACTTTTAACCTCTGTATGACAAAGGCCTTAATGGGAGGAGGATCTAGACTGAGGTTTTGTGAGTACAAAGGCCCTGACATAGAAATCTGTTATGTTTGAGGAATAACATGAGAGTCTTTGTGGCTGGAGTAATGTGAAGCAGAAATAAGACATGGGAGATGAGGTTGGAGATTATGGGTAAGGTTATTGCAGGATAAATCATATGGAACCTCATTATCTTTTGTAAGAACTTTGGTATATATTCTGTTTGGAGGAGAAAATATAGGAAAGAGTTTTGAGCAGAGGAGTAATATGATCTAACTTACTTTTTAAAAATATGAATATTTTTATTGATTTCAGAGAGGAAGGGAAAGGAGAGAGAGAAACATCAATGATGAGAGAGAATCATTGATTGGCTGACTCCTGCATGCTCCCTATTGGGGATTTAGCCTGCAACCTGAGCATGTGCCCTTGATTTGCCAGAAGCTAATTATCATCTCTCATATAGAGAGGTCATAAATGCAAGAAGTTCATCAAAAATTGATGGACCTTGAGCCTTCAGCAAGGGTTAGAAAATCATGTTATTATTGCCTGTTGGAAATGGTTGAGGGCATTTTCCCAAAACTGAAAAGGATGCATAAATGATTGCTTGCTGCTAGACAGCTGAGGGCATTTCAGTCTATGTGTTACTGTCTCATACTGGCCAAACACCTGAACAGCCATAGGCAGTTCCCCCAATTAGAATACAATGGATTCCGTATACTAAACCTTGCCTTTGCTATGTATATCTACCTTGCTTTAGTACAATTTATGTTAATAAAAAGCAAAGGGTCCGTAGAGACAGGAGAACTTGGTTTCTTTAACTAAGTCTCCTCTGGCTCCCCAAATACCTTCCAAAATTATGTTTTGTCTCTGGTCTCTTTATTAATTTACTGCAGCCTCTTCTCCAGATTCCTAAAACCTTCTAGATGCTGGATAAGACCCCTGGCATTGACTAGAATCAAACCTGGGCCCTTCAGTCCACAGGCCAATGCTCTATCTACTGAGCCAATCTAGTTAGGACATAACTTACATTTTAAAAGGATCACTTTTGCATTTTTGGAAACTAGTGGTGCAAAAATGCAAGAAGGAAAATCTAGGAATGCTTGTGAAAAATCTATATGAGAGATGATAATGACTATATAGGAGGAGAAAATCGTTGAATTCTGGAGATAATTTGAAGATGGAGCCAGTAATGTTTCATGGTATGGATTACATGTAAAGTCTAAGATAAAGGGGGACATTAAATTATTGTTCCAAAGATGTTGGCTTGAGGAATGGAACACAGAAATGTTGTGAAAAGAGCAAGAATGGGTTGAGAATGGAATCAGGAATTGGATTTCGGTCATACTGTGTTTGTGATGTCTGTTAGATATCCAATTTCAGATGACAAGTGTAGAGTTCAGAGAGAGGTCTGGCATAGAGAGCAACATTTGGGAATCATCAGTACAGAGATGGTATTTATAGTTGCAGAGGAGGTGCGATCACTAGAGAAGTAACTAAATAGAAAAGTTGGCCAGTGACTGAGCTCAGGGCCATTTCAAAATTGTGAGGCTTGCCGAAACCGGTTTGGCTCAGTGGTAGAGCATCGGTCTGCGGACTGAAGGGTCCTGGGTTCGGTTCCGGTCAAGGGCATGTACCTTGGTTGCGGGCATATCCCCGGTAGGGGGTGTGCAAGAGGCAGCTGGTCGATGTTTCTCTCTCATCGACGTTTCTAGCTCTCTATCTCTCTCTTCCTCTCTGTAAAAAATCAATAAAATATTTTATAAAAAAAAAAAATTGTGAGGCTTAAGAGATGAAGAAAAATAGAAGGTGTAGCTTGAATGTGAAATAGGAGGAGGCCTAAAAAGTGGTATTTTGGAAGCCAATTTGGATATACCAAAGAGAAGTCATAAAGGTCTTATTTTAAAGTGAAAAAGTGAAAGTTCTTAATTTAATAAAAGACAGAATAGATTCATATGCTAAGGTGGCTAAGGTCTGTGGTAAGAATGAGTGTTTTATCTGTGAAATTGCCTAATTTATAAATTAAACTTTATCAGGTATATATGTTTAGGGGAAAAATCATAGTATATATAGGGCTTGGTACTGTCTGCAGTTTTAGGCATCCACTGAGGATTTTGGAATTTAGCACCATGGGTAAGACAGGACTACTGAATTTGAGCTTTTTTATAAAGTATATGTATTTTTTATTAAATATTTTATTATGATATATGTTAAGTATACAGAAAAGTACATTAGACAAATATTTATTATGTACCTACTGTGTACCAGGAAAATTCCTTCTAGCATATTGCTTATCTTTTAATATAGTTTATAGTTTCTTTTACATAGATTTTATATATATATATATATATGTGTGTGTGTGTGTGTGTGTGTGTGTGTGTATGTATATGTGTGTGTGTGTGTATATATATTATATATATATATATTTTTTAATGAGAGATTTACTTTTTTTAATGTATTTTTTTTAATCCTTACCTGAGGATATGTTTATTGATATTAGAGAGAGAAAAGGGGAAAAAGAGAGAAACATTGATGTGAAAAAGAAACATTGATTGGCTGCCTCCCATATGTGCCTAGGGGACCAAACCCACAATAGAAAACTAGTTAACCTAGTTCCATTAATTAAATGGCTAGCCCAATTAAAAAAAAAATTCTAAGAAATAGCATCTTTGTTATATATCACATAGTCACATATGTATAGGTTTGTTTCTAGGCTCTCTCTTTTATTCCAATTAGTTTATTTGCCTGTCTCTTTGCCAGTAAAAGTTTATTGTTTGGTAAGTTAAGTCCCTTCTAATCATCAAAATAGGCTTAGATAATTTTCACAGTAATAATTTTAATGTCATCTTGTTGAGTTCCATGAAAAATACGGTTGGAATTTTTTGTAACACTGGATTTATAGGCTTAATTTGGGGAAAATTGCTGCCATTATATTATCTTCCCATCTATGAAAATGATGTATAGATCCTTTTTATTTTTTTAAGAGAGTCTTGGAATATTTTTCACAAGTCTTATTATCAGCTTGTTTTAGCCTTTTTTTCTAGGTAATATAAAGACTGATTCTATTCTGAATTGGATCTTTTTAATGTTAACATTAGACTTTTTTTTTTTTTTTTTTTTTTTTTTTGCTAATGTTAAGTGTTGCCGTTGATTCTTCTCCACCTGCTGCCTATACCGATTTTTTAGTGATCTCACTGGGCTCTGATATTAGTTCAAGTACCTTAACGGTAGATTCTCTTGGATTAAATTACCTTGATATTATTAAACATACAAAAATCCTAATGAGATATTTCCTCTTATGTAGAAAAGAGACAACAAGGGCCTGATTGGCTAGTTTTGTGTTTCTGAGAAAGTGATGTTGGGAGGTAATGCTATCTTTTGTAGTTCATTTACTTTGGGGCTTAGTGCTTAAACCCAAGCATGAAGGATGTTAGTGATGTTGCCCATTTGAGGGTCAATGAGAAAAAATAGGCCAGGAAATAGAGGATATGGTATAGTGTTACCTTTCTCTTCTTTACAGTTGATGACAAGTAACCAGCTACTATTTTTAAGTTTTATTTTTCTGCCAAGAAAAAGACTTCTTAGACATGGTTACTGCTTTATATGAAAAAATAAGTTGCTTTGAGGAGGGTGATATCAATTTGAGGAGATGAGCATAGTTGATATAGAGGTGGAGATAAAAAAAAGATATTTTGAAGGAAAAACATTTTTCTCCCTCTACCCTCCCAATGAATGTTAGGAACATAAAATAGTTTACAACATAAATTCTTTGAGATAAAAAGAAAGTACTGAAGGCGGGTTGTTTTGATTTTATGCCATCATATCATTTTATGACCTCCCTTAACTTCCAGCATTAGACTGTCTTAGAATTCAATCCTTAAAAATGAGATAATGTGGGACATTTTAAGTTTAAACTACTAAGGTCTAAATGGAGTATTTAGTAAAACAGACTAATCTATTCATTATTAACTTTTCAGTTCACACAAAAAATGTTGGACAACTTCTACAATTTTGCTTCATCATTTGCTGTCTCTCAGGCCCAGATGACACCAAGTCCATCAGAAATGTTCATTCCAGCAAATGTGGTTCTGAAATGGTATGGGGCATTTTCTTATCTCTAATATTAAGGATTTTGGTAACCATATATATTTTGCTTGTGAATGTATTTCTTCTTTGACTTTAAACATATTCTTTTGTTGTGGACATCATACAAGAACATTTGCATACCATTTCAAAGAATTACTATAGAGTTCAGATTAGAAATGGTTCTTACCCTAAGTATTCTTTTAAAAAAAAAAATATTTTATTGATTTTTTTTACAGAGAGAAAGAGAGAGGGATAGAGAGTTAGAAACATCGATGAGAGAGAATCATCGATCAGCTACCTCCTGCACATCCGCCACCGGGGATGTGCCCGCAACCAATGTACATGCCCTTAACTGGAATCGAACCCAGGACCCTTCAGTCCACAGGCCGACGCTCTATCCACTGAGCCAAACCAGTTTCGGCTACCCTAAATATTCTTATATAGTATCTATTTTGAATTGATAAAGACAGGAAAATACAGTTGCTTGTGTTTTAGAAACCACAGTTAAGGAGTGATTTTTTAAAAATATTTTTAATTATAAGTATTATATATGAGGCTTAAAATACCAAACAAAACTTTTTATAAGTTTAGAAAGTCTTGACCTAAAGTAAATATGTATATATGAGGCATCAGGGTGGTTTATACTGCATCCTGTATCTGAATGATTAATAAATACATTTCCTCAACTTTGCCATGTTTTTCTGTTTCCTGAGGTCCCCGCCCCCATTTTGAATATTCCAGGAGTGAGGGAATGCTTAGGGAGAATTTACTGAGAAGTGGTAGCGTAGTATAGCATGGATAGCACTGAAAAGTGTTAGATTTGAACTTTGTTATAATGCAGCTGTATTATATGATCTTGAAAAAATTACTCTCATCTACCTATTTGTGAAATGAGGAAAGAACAGTTAGATTTTATTGTTTCCCCTCTTAGGTTCCTTCTCACTCAGATTTATAGAAGATAAACAATAGAATTCATTATGATTTGTGCTCTTTAATATAAGCCAGTTATACTTAAATATGTTTTTTTAATTGATTTTAGAGAGAAAGGAAGGGGGAGAGAGAGAAACACTGAGAGAGCACCATTGGTCAGCTGCCTCCTATATGTCCCCTTCTGGGGATTGAGACACCAACACGGGCATGTGCCCTGACTGATAATTGAACCAGCAATATTTTGAGGCATGGGATAATGCTCAACTAACTGAACCACACCAGCCAGGGCTAAGCCATTTATACTTAAAATCACTATGGTTGCTATCGTTGCTTTAAAAAAAAAAAATTAAAAAAAAAAATATTTTTTTTTTTCAGAGAGGAAGGGAGAGGAGAAAGATAGAAACATCAGTGATGAGAGAAAATCACTGATTAGCTGCCTCTTGCACACCCCCAACTGGGGATGGAGCCTGCAACCCAGGCATGTGCCCCTTTACGGGAATCGAACCTGGGATCCTTCAGTCTGCAGTCTGATGCTCTATCCACTGAGCCAAACCAGCTACAGTTGGTTGCTATCGTTTTATAAAGTAATTGTTAAACTTTCACATTAACTTTTTGGTATTTCATCTTAGTTTCCTAGAAATGACATGTAAAATTTTTTTTATGCCATTTAACAAATTATGAAAGATTCTATTTTAATTTTCTTGTAAATATGTCTTTTGTTTTGTAGGTATGAAAACTTTCAAAGACGACTAGCACAGAACCCTCTCTTTTGGAAAACATAATTTGAATAAAATAATTTTTAATGGATTCTGGAATTTGTCTTGTTTTGAATATAAATGATTTCATTTAAAGCATGAAATCAAAAGGATCATGAAACCTCATTTTAAAAACTGTTTAGTGACTATGAAACTTAATTAAAATATTAATAAAAAATTAAAAACATTGAAAAATAAAAATATGTTCCTATTAATGACTTTTCCCCTTAAGTTTGAAATATTCAGAGACAAAACATTTTGTTTTGGCTGATTCATTTTTTTTTTTTTTTTTTACTTAAAAATAAAGAATATTCACAACCATAGTGTGCCAGATGTCATTGCATTGATAATATTTTATTTTAAAAAATCTTTATTGTTGAAAGTATTACATATGTCTACCCCTTCCACCCAATGACCCCTTCTAGCCCGCCCCCACCCCATGGTAATGATGATCAGTGACTGAGCATTTTTGCATAATGATCATCTGTAGGTCGCCTTTGGAGAAGTGTCTATTTAGGTCCTTTGTCCATTGTAATTGGGTTGTTGGTCTTCCTTTTGTTAAGTTGTATGAGTTCCTTATGTATGTTGGATATTAACCAGATGTATCATTACCAAATATGTTCTTCTTTACAGTGGGCTCCCTTTTCATTTTTTTTTGATGGTTTCTTTTGCTGTGTAGAAGCTTTTTGTTTTGATGTAGTACCGTGTTTATTTTCTCCTTAGTTTCCTTTGGCCTAGGACATGTATCTGTAAACAGTGCTATGAGTCATGTCTGAGATTTTGCTGCCTATGATTTCTTTTAGGATTTTTATGGTTTCCCGACTTACATTTAGGTCTTTTATCTATTTTGAACTTATTCTTGGGCATGGTTTAAGTTGGTAGTCTAATTTCTTTCTTCTTTCCTTCCTTTCTTTCTTTCTTTTCTTTTTTCTTTTTTTTTTTGTGCATGTATTTGTCCAATTTTCCCAGCACCATTTATTGAAGAGACTATCTTTACTCCATTGTATGCTCTTGCCTCCTTTGTCAAATATTACTTGAGCGTAATGGCTTGGGTCGATTTCTGGGATTTGTGTTCTGTTCTATTGATTTTTATGCCTGTTCTTTTCTCAGTGCCAGGCTGTTTTGATTATGGTGGCTTTGTAGTATAACTTGATATCTGGTATCGTGATTCCTCCAACTTTGTTCTTTTCTCTGAAGATTGTTGCAGCTCTTGGGGGTCTTTATTAAGTCTATATAAAATTTTGGAGTATTTGTTCTAGATCTGTAAATATGCTGTTGGTATTTTAATAGGAATTACATTGAATCTGTAGATTACCTTGGGTAGTATGGACATTTAAATGATGTTAATTCTACCAGTCCAGGAACACAGTATATTCTTCCACTTGTTTATTTCTTCCTCTATCTCTTTTGTCCTTTAGTTTTCCAAGTACAAATCTTTTACCTCATTGGTTAAGTTTATTCCTAAGTATCTTAATTTTTTTGTTGCATTAGTAAATGGGATTATTTGTTTGGTTTCTCTTTTTGAGAATTAATTATTGGTATATTAAAAAGCTGTAGATTTTTGGGGTGTTTATTTTGTATCCTGCTATGTTGCTAAAGTCATTTATTAAATGTAGTAGTTTTTTTGGTGGAGTCTTTAGAGTTTTCTGTGTCTAATATGTCATCTGCAAATAATGAGAGTTTTACTTCCTTCCAATTGGTATGCCTTTTATTTCTTCTTATCTGATTGCTATGGCTAGGACTTTCAGTAATATCATAATAAAGAACTAATATGCTAATGGTCGGGATGCCATAATGCTTAACGACTGATCTACTGATCACAGGAGGCTGCCTGCACGTGCATGGAAGGGCATTGCTCCAGAGATGGGGCAGAAGCCCTAGGAGGTGGGACCATCCCATGCTGGGGAGGGCTAGGGTGATAGCCTGTAGTGCCCCCCTCACCAGTCCTTCGCCACCCACCACTCGCACTCAAGAGTGCCCCGCCACGCTGGTGCGGCCAGGCCCGGAGCAGCGGCTGCCAGGCTGGGAGCGGCCAGGCCCGGGGGAGCAGGCGGGGCTGGTGCGGCCAGGCCCGGAGCAGCGGCTGCCAGGCTGGGAGCGGCCAGGCCCGGGGGAGCAGGCGGGTCGGGTGCGGCCAGGCCCGGAGCAGCGGCTGCCAGGCTGGGAGCGGCCAGGCCTGGGGGAGCAGCCGGGTCGGGTGCGGCCAGGCCCGGAGCAGCGGCGGCCAGGCTGGGAGCGGCCAGGCCCGGAGCAGCAGCAGCCAAGTCCAGAGCAACTAGGTCGGGAGCGGCAGTGACCAGACCCGGAGCAGCTGGTTGTGGAATGAACCAGAGCAACAGAGGCCAGGCCCTGAGCAGCCAGGCCCAGAACAGCTCGCTCCTTGCCTGCCCCTGCCCCACGGCTGCTTCTCAGACATGGCTGGAAACTTTCGTGGGAACTTGAGTGTCTGCTGAATCAAGTGATGAAGGCTTAGATCTGGATGTGTTGAGTTAGTTTAGGACTGGGGTGTTGATCTGTGAGTGCCTTGGGTGGGGCCTCGATGAGGCTGGTTGACCTAGTGGGAAATGTCTTTTGTGTGAAGTGTATCATTGGGCATGTGGAGGTATTATTGATATGAGAAAATGCTAAGTAACTGATTTACTATCTGAAAAGGGATTTACTATTGGGGAAATTGAGGGAAGAAGAGACTGAACATAAACTGCACCTATGGATGAGGACAATGGGGGATGTGGGGGGGACGGAGGGTGGGGTGGGAACCTGGTGGAGGGGGGAAGAAATGAGGAACCTTTGTAATAATATGAACAATAAAGATTGCTAAAAAAAAATATATATATATATATATATATATATATATATATATATATATATATATTTAAAAAAATAAATAAAAAAAAATAAAATAAAATAAAAAATTAAAAAAAAAAAAAAAAAAAAAAAAGAGTGCCCCGCCACCCACATGCCAGGGAAAGGAACACAGCACAGCAGGTGGGAGGCTTCCACGCTCTCCTCCAGTGCCGGAAGGGGCAGGGCTGCCACATTGCTCCAATAGGGCAGAAACGGACAGGTGCCTGAGAAGGCAGGACCAATCCTAGGTGACTTGAGGCACTGGGTGGGGCTTGAAGCAGCCAGAGAAGGCCAGGAGTGCTGTAGCTCTGCGTAGAGAGGTACAGGTGTCAAGGCAAGGCTGCGTGGGTGGGCAGGGCTGTGTGATTTCACACGCTGGGCTCCTAGTTATGAATAAGAATGGTGAAAGCGGGCATCCTTGTCTTGTTCCAGTTCTTAGGGGAAATGGTTTTAGTTTTTGCCCATTGAGTATGATGCTCATTCTAGGTTTGTCATATTTGTCCTTTGTATGTTGAGATACACTTCCTCTATTCCCACTTTGCTGAGAGTTTTTAAAAATATACCTTATTGATTTTTTTTTTTTACAGAGAGGAAGAGAGAGGGATAGAGAGTTAGAAACATTGATGAGAGAGAAACATCAATCAGCTGCCTCCTGCACATCCCCTACTGGGGATATGCCTGTAACCAAGGTCCATGCCCTTGACCAGAATTGAACCTGGGACCTTTTAATCCGCAGGCTGACACTCTATCCACTAAGCCAAACTGGTTTCGGCTTTGCTGAGAGTTTTTTTTTTTTAATCAAAAATGGATGTTGGATTTTGTTGAATGCATTTTCTGCATCTATTGATATGATCATGTGATTTTTGTCTTTTAATTTATGTGATGTATCATGTTTATTGATTTGCAAATATTATACCAGCCTTACATCCCTGTAATCAATCCCACTTGGTCATGGTGTATGATCATTTTCATATATTGCTAAATGTGATTTACTAATATTTTGTTGAAGATTTTAGCATCTATGTTCACCAGGGATGTTGGGCTGTAATTCTCTTTGTAGTGTCTTTATCTGGTTTTGGGATTAGGATAATGCTGGCCCCATACAAAGAGTTTGTAAGTATTCCTTCTCTTGGATTTTTGGAAATTGTTGGAGGAGTATAGGTGTTAGTTCTTTGACTAACTTGCCTGTGAAGCCATCCAGACCAGGGCTTTTGTTTGCTGGGAATTTTGTGATTACTGCTTCTATTTCATCAGTTGTTATTGGCCTATTTCGGTTTTCTGATTCTTTTTGATTCAGTTTTGGGAGATTGTATTTTTTTAGGAATTTGTCCATTTCATCTACATTGTCCAGTTTGTTGACATATAGTTGTTCATATTATTTTCTTACAACCCTTAGTATTTCTAAGGAGTCATTTGTATTAAGCCCTTAATATTTCTGTGGAGTCAATTGTTACTTCACCATTTTTGTTTCTGATTTTATTTATTTGGATCCTCTTTCTTTGTTTCTTGATGAGTTTGGCTAAAAATTCACCAATCTTGTTTATTTTTTCAAAGAACCATTTCTTGGGGGTGTGCAAGAGGCAGCTGATCGATGATTCTCTCTCATCGATGTTTCTAACTATCCCTCTCTTCCTCTCTGTAAAAAAATCAAAGAACCGTTTCTTGATTTCATTGATTTTTTTTTGTATTAACTTTTTAGTCTGTGTCATTTATTTCTGCTCTAATCTTTATTTCCTTCCTTTTACTTATTCTGGGCTTTTCTTGATGTTCTTGTTCTAATTTTTTAAAAAAAATATTTTTATTGATTTTAGAGAGGAAGGGAAAGGGAGAAAGAGGAACATCAATGATGAGAGAGAATCAGCAATTGGCTGCCGCCTCCATACCCCCTACTGGGGATTGGGTGCAACCCAGGCATGTGCCCTTGAGCAGAATTGAACCCAGGACCCTTCTGTCCTCAGGCTGACACTCTATCCACTGAGCCAAACCAGCTTGGATTCGTTCTACTTCTGTAAGTTGGTGACTACAAAGCAAGGGCTTGTTCTAATTCTTTAAGTTGATTATTACACAGCTAGGCATTCATGAAGGCGGGAAGGTCTGCAGACATGCATCTCACTGACCTTTCCACTGCACCAGGCTCTGGGAACATGGTTTTTGTTCATATTGCTTAGTCATAATTTATTCTG